TCTCCCACAACTGTCTCTCAGGGATGCTACGAAACTGTGGGCTGGATAAATGGATGGTAAGGTAGATAGAATACTGGATGGAGTGTTTGGCTCAGAGGGTAGTAATCAATAGTTTGATGTTCAGGTGGCAGCTAGTATCAAGTGGAGTGCCCCAGGGGGCCAGTTTTGTTCAATATCTTCATCAATGACCTGGAAGATCACTTAAAGTGCACCCTCAGCAAGTTTGCAGATGACACCAAGCTGGGGAGAGTAGTAGATATGGTGGAGGGCAGGGATAGGATTCAGAGTGACTTAGACAAATTGGAGAATTGGACCAAAACAAATCTCCTGGCTCTAAATTTGATACCTGGAAATCCAGGTATTAAAAAAAAAAAAAAAAAAAAAAAAAAAGCCAGCAGAAAAAAAGCAGGGCAAGGCACACTCTTATAGTGTGCTATGAAGTAAACAGATTGAAGTCCTGAAAAGAGATGCTCTTGTAGCCAGCCAGAGTGTCTCTATGGCTGCCCCTTGCCCCGGTGCTGCAGTACACTGCCTCCCTGTGTGGTGCAGGTTGCAGCAACCTAGATCTGGGCATGGTCCCAGGTAAGTAGGGACTGGGGGTCAGAGGGACTGGAGCAGGGGGCTTTGTGGATGTGGGGGACTGTGTGCGTGTGGGAGTGCTACTCGGGAGGGGTAGGTCCCCCACCTGCCCCCCACACAGCTCCCAGCCCCCAGCAGAAGAAGTAGTGGGTTTGGGGCACTCAGAGCCCTCCTGGTACAGCTGCCCTACAGCACAGGGCAGTGTGACATAGCCCTGGCTGCAAGTCACCTGGTGCTGCCTGTGCCACATCACATGGGCCCAGCCCAGCTCAGCAGGGGGCCATGCACCTTTTGTCAGGACCAGGCCACTTGGGCTGTCACTTGGGGGACTGGCACTGCTTGCAGGGACCATGCATCATGCCAGGCCAGGTCCCCATGCATGGGCCTCATGTGCTGTCAAGCAAGGCCGGTCCCATGGAGGCAGGACTTGGCCTGGCATGATGCACAGTCCCTGTAAGCTGTGCTGGGCCCCCAGGTGATAGCCTGAGCAACCCAGTCCTGCCTGAAGACACACAGCCCTATACCAGGCCAGGCTAGGTTCTCACAATATGGCACAGTAGGCACCAGATGCCAGGTGGCCATAGCTGAGCTGTGCATCCCAGTGCCAAGGGGGGACAGTGCCAGGACATCCCTGAGCCCCTAATGGCCACTGCTGCTGTGGGGGACTTGTGTGCCATGGGGGAACCATGTGCCTTAT